CAATTGTCTTTATGCTTGCTAATATAATACACTACTTTCGTATTCTTGGTGCTTGGTTGCTCCCATTTTTGATATTTCCTCTGATTATCTGTTTTCTCATTATTGGGGTATGAGCCTCACAAGAAATTCTTTTGAATAATTAAATGGCCTTAATATCAACTCAGAATTCTCTTTTTTTTTTTTTGAAAAGATTCAACAAGAATCTCAGCATATTATGTGCATTACTCGATTAGCCATTATCCTTCAAGGTACCGCAATTGGGTTGGATTTACTCATTTCTATTTCCTATTTTAGTTTTAAAGGTTATATTATTATTTGCAGTATTCTTTCAGGCATGTTTACTAGCATATAAAGATTGTAAATAAAATAAAATAAATTCTTCCTAACCAAAGAGATTTACTGATCACAATTTTTTCCATTTTAGATTCCATCTGTGTAATTTTACATATTTCATTATTTATACACACAATCAAATGTCAACACAACTTTGGAAAAGGCTTGAAATTACTTTGTATGCTTAAAGGTTATTCTTCACTTCGTATTTCATATAATGATTATTTCATTTCTTCATTTCCTCATTTTAGTAATGTATGAACCCAAGCCAAAAGAATATACTTATGATGAAGACGAAGAGCTGCAGTGCAAGAATGATGAGGAACTTCCAGAAAATGTCTGGAATGGGAAGGTCTTTTCACGAGTTTTGGCCAAAATAGGTGATGCATGCTTGGTATTTTGGAGAACATTTTGTAAAATTCTTGACTGATTTAGGCTAATTGTGTGATTTATTAAATTGCAATCTTTACTTAGATATCATATTAACAAATTTTGTTTTAAGATTCTTTTTTTTTTTTTATTAGATTTACAGTATATTTTAAATTACATTAAGAAATAAAATAGCTGGAAACTGTCCTATTAAAAAGATTGGTTTCATATAATTACAAATCCTATTAATGGAATATAGTTTTCCCAGTTTTAAAATTTGCTAAAAGTAAAATCAATTAATCCAACAACTAAATTAACATAAAGTCGTATTTAACCAAAAATCTCATAATTTCACAAATTCAATCTAGCTGCAAAAAGTAAACTTTTGTCTTGTAATTTTGTATGAAATATTTATTATACTAATGCTGTCAAAAAAGGTTTAATTTTTTATTCATGGAAAATTTCAGTTTTTATTAATTTGCTTTGTACAAATTCATATTGAAAACTTTTTTCTTTTTACAAATTATTAATGCTTTTTTACTACAACTTTGCTAATATTTATACAACAAAACCACATTTCATAAAATTAAATTCTGTTCAAATGTCTTTAATAACTATTTATCAGGTAGGTACTATATAATCACTGGCAGAAATAAACAAACTCAGTTTTGCAACTTTATATTATAATCATGTGATACAATCAGTTTATCATTTAAAGGAAAAATTTTTTTTTATTTCTGCCAGTAATTCGTCGGACCTACCTGATAACAAGAACGAATTGTATTAACTTGATATTTTTTCCATTTTTGACTTTGAATTTAATTACGCGTAATAGTAAATATTCAATACTATTAATGATAAAATAAATACGCTCTTAAGCTGTCTTTAGTATCTGAGTTTGAAACACACATTGATACGTAGAACAAGTTTTACATAGTATACTAGACGGTTTAAATACAGGCTTTGGTGTAAGTTTAATTTGAAGTTTTAAAAGTGATAAAAGTAGAAAACAAAGAAAAAAATAATGCTAAAAGAATCAATCGCTAGAGTTTGACAATGATGAATTTTTTTAATGTTGAAACTGTTCTATATATAATGCACTTATTATTCAAAATTAGTGTACTAGCATGAAAGGGCACACACTACCACGATGACAGTAATGGATATAATTTTGGCTAATCCTATTTCAATATCTTTATGGGAATTTTTGGAAATGATCTAGTTGAATTATATGTGCTGGAAAGCTTTATCTGGTTTCATATTTCTTTTCCGATATATCCATTTTATATCTTTGCTTTTTTGCTTCATATAGCTTCTGAATATGTTGCAAGAGGGTTTTGACTTGGTGATGTCATTTCCTGTATTTCAGTAGTGTAAACGAATAAATCGATTATACATGGCAAAAAACGGATCATTAGAATTCGCAGAACAATTTATTTGTGCAACAAATTTGAATTAAAAAACTAGATGAATGCTTTATGACTGTGACTTCGTCACTTGTTTAAAGTTTCTATTCAAATAAAGGTTATTATTTGAATTATATGTAATTAATTTTACATTGAGAATTAAGATATGCATTATTACAAATAGAAGTTCTATTTCTGGCCTTCGGTAAAGTCTGAAGGGTGGTGTGATGAAGGTTTGCCATACCACAATTATAAAAGATTTCTTTAGATGCTTTTGTTTATTGTTTATAGCTTGTTATGTATAAATATTTGAAATTTTTTTACTAACTAATGTTTTGATTGTAGATAATTATTTTGAGATGGCTCAACAAAATTTTGACCATCTAAATTTCACAAGCAGATAAAGGTTTAAAACATATATATTCAGAGAATGTTAATATGTAAAAATAATGTTAACTTAACATATAAAATAAAGAATAATAATTTTTTGAAGTTATTCCTGAATTTTTCTCCTCAAAAAAGGTAGCCAGCTCATGAACATAACCAACTCTTTATCAATGCCATTTATTGTCTAAACAATTACAAGCAGATAAAGAATAGAGATGTTAATGTGTATGCAAATTATGAGCTATCAATATATCAAAATAAAGAATAATAAATTTTCAAAATTTCACTAAAAGTCACTATCTTTCATCATCCAAATGCAATTAACTCAACCTTCCATACCTATATGTAATTTTTCTGCTTTTATTCGTTATACAGAGTGTTTATTAAAATGCTTGTTATGAATTATAGAAAAATGAATTGGAGGCAAAAGTGAAGTTCATTATAGAGATAGTGAACTTAGGAGAAGATTAGAAATTTTATTTACATTTGTATATACTGTTAATGTAAGTTATTTTATTGAAATTTTTCAGCAAATATTCTCTTAACACAAAGGTTCACTTCAAAAAGCGCTTTCAGGTAAAAAATTTCTTTTAAACAGTAAATAAATTTTTTTTTTGATATACAATATATGGATAAGTTTGAAGTTTCTTCCATTATTAATAGATAAATTTTTTTTATATAGTTATAAAAAAATTCCATTTGCGTAACAGTTATACTTGTACTGATACTGATGTTAATAAAGAAACAATTTAAAAAACGAAAAAAAAAAACAAAAAACGATTAATTTTTGCAATCCACAATAATCAAAATTTTCTATTAATCAAATAATGTCAACAAATAGTCAAAATAAAGTAAGTAGCCCTTACAAAAGTATTATTTTTTATTTATAAAAGCAAAAAATCTGAATTTTTGATATTCCTGTATTTGACCCAGGGCTGACACGTAATGTGTTAAACCCTAATTTGGTAATGATTGTCTTGACTTAACAAATAATAACAATAATGACTAAATAGGTTACGCGTCCAGCCTACAAAAAACCCTTTTTCCCAAAAAATGTTTTAGTTTTGTTGTGCGTGAAAATGAAATTTATGTGAATTTGCAATTCACATATGTGAAATTCAAATTGGCCAATCAGAATTTCATGTCCACAAACTATATAGATAGGTCACTGCCGCAGCTGGGTCAAATCTTGTAGTAAAAGACCTAAAAATTTTACTATTAGAAAATGCAATGTCGGTGAACAATTACCAAATTGGAAAGATTGTCTACAATAAGCCAATTGCAATGTGGGTCAAACCTTATATCAAACCATGGTTTTTGTATGTAACCCATCTATATAGTTTGCGGGGCTCCTGTCTAAACACCCGCCCAAAATTTTGTCAATATAAAAAATTACACAAATTTGATATAAGAAGCAAATAATAAATGCATCAACCCTTTTTATTGAATAATTCGATAAATATAAAAGGTTGCACGCATCAAAACTACCAACTACAAATTTAGCATATATACGTTAAATATATATGTTTTATATATAGGAGAATAAAAGAACAGAACGGAATGGCAGAAAATGAAATACAACATTCCCATCATGTGGTTTTTATAGTAATATGTGACCTCTTAAATCAGATGTATACAATATATATACACATTATCAGTTTCGACAAATATGAATGGAGTAATGTAACAGTTTTAATCTTTTAATATCAAATTCTAATGCACTCATGGTTAACTATGAACGGAAATAAGTATTTATTCATTATTAACACTTGTAAAAATAAGCTTGTGATAGTTATCATATGGCACTATAGTGTAAACAATTCAAGTTCAAGTTCAAAGTTTCACCCTGGAAAGGAAACATTTAAACATATATAACGTAATAGTAACAAATAATAATGATAGATCATATTTATAACAGCTCTCCAGTCTCTTCTATGTATTCAAACTTTTTGTTATAAAAAGACTACTGATCATCGATGAAAAGTTATCATTGTTAGTAATGGAATTGTGATCAAAAAATTCAATCTCATAAATTTTGATTATAAGAGAAAAGACTGCACATGGTATTGAGAATTCCCTTTCATTGAAGGATTACTTAGACAAGATAACGTTTCCTTAATCTGACATTGTGTTTTACATCATATTAACAATAAAATGTCACCTTTAACATAAATTCGAGCATGGATGAAATAATATATAGATAGAAACAATGTAACAGAAAATATGATTTACTATATAATAAATTACAAGAGGGAAGGCTATAAGTTTGGCAACCAAATGTCAAGTTGTATTCCAAGTGTGATAAACTATAGCAACCCTTTAACTATGAATCCAAAAATCATTATTTTCTTTAGACAAGGAAGATTCTTTCTTCCTCAGTTCCCTGATGTCGACTATTAATCATTTCATCATATTCACATTGGAGTTTATCATATTTCAGATCCATTCTTCTCAAGTGCTGTTAAAAGGAAAAGTTAGATTTTTTCATAATGGCTACCCGATTGACTATAACATCATTAAAAAACTTGCCTCGAATTGATAATTGTCAAGATAGTAATCCTGCAACATTGTTTCCAACATTTGAACACGATTTTCCAATGTTGCATTGTTGCGCCGGTTTGATACTCTTTGTGCCAGAACGATTCCTGAAGATGTGACATATCGTTTTGCTAGTTTTGCTTTTAAGCTTTAGCATAAAAATAACAGATTAGACAAGCCAACAACTCATTTAATTAAAATGGTTAATAATTTAGAATTACCTGCGTCTGCAAATTCTGCAACTTAGCACATATTTTTGAATAATACCCCTGTGAATGCACAAATATTAGGCTGGAACTATTCGATAATGCATCATTTAAATTGTGATTAAACAATTCATACATACCATGGAGATAATTTTGGCATTCCAAATAATAAAACATACATTGAATTCAAAGCAACATAGAAACCACCAAGATTGGCTATTACACTCCCAACTTTAGTAATTTTTGTTAGGGTGATTTTGATGCAATATACAAACAAACATTAAAAATCTAAAAAAAACTTACATGAATATTCATTACTTCCTGCCTCGTGGGTAAGCTGCATAAATACACTTGCGCCAAATTGAATGTTTCCTTCGTTGTTGAGTTTTGGAAGGCTTTTAATGGCATAATTTAAATAACAGATCTCTTTATATGATCTAAAACTCCAAGCATCTGATATATAATTTCTTTCAATCTTTGGAAAAATATTGATACTAGAAACATCTTTGGGTTCAAAGATAATAACTGAGTCAGAATTAACCTTATTCGTGCAATCAGTGTAGCTTTTAGTGTAAGTATAAATATTCACATTCTTAAATATGACATATAACTGTTGATCTGAAATGTAGTGAGTAGAGTTATTTGGATCAAAATATTCTTTTCGGAAGAAAAAATCAAAATAACTTTCAAAAGAAGTGTTGGTTGAAGATGACGTAGAATTTAAAGTAACGTTAAAAAATATACTCGTATCATCAGCATAATCACCCGAAAAAAAGTTATACGCTTTGCAGTTTTGGGGGACCATTCTACTGATATTTTCACAATTATCACTCTGATTAAGTCTATTACTAATAATGCAGACAGTATTCGATTGCTTGTTAGAGGTGCAGATGTAGGCTTCTATTTGTTTATTAATATTGGTTAAGTGAATATTCAAATATCAAATTTCTGTGTTATACATAAGAAGTCCGGCGTTCATACCTGCGGTGAAGTTAAATGATTGAGTTTTAGATACTTTAATACTGGTCTCTCCATTATATAATAGTGCATAATGAAACTGCATGCTCGCGTAATATAAAATTGAAACTGCCAAACCAGCTGCAATAAAAATACGGATATTTTTAAACCAGCGAGGTTCGGTGTTCTTGCTGTTAAAAATTGCATCATAGAGAAACATTTTCGATCTATTGATATTAAACTTGTAATGATTATTTTCTGGACGACTTTGTCGTTTTATTTATTATATAAATTAAATAAAAAAGGTTATCAATTTAAAAAAAACTTCAAGTTTAATAAAATATGGAAAGTCAGCGCATTGCATACTATGAATTATCAAACTGTATGACATTAATGTAATTTGCAATGTTACTGTTGTATGTGAAATTGAAATTATGTGAATTCGCAATTCACATATGTGAAATTCAAATTTACATGTGTGAAATTCAAATTAGCCAATCAGAATTTCACCCCACTCCATAATATTTCAATTTCACATAATTTCAATTTCACATACAACATTACCAATAATAATAAAAGGAATTTAGTTGCTACTTATTTAGTTTACGAATAAAGTACTTCAAGTTTCATTTTGACTTTTCTTCAAAATGGTCTTTACACGGCGTTTTTTCACGTTGACTTTTCTAATTTTGCTTATTGGTGAATTAGGCTTTTTAATATATCTAGCATGTCTAGCATATCTAGAATCAAGAGTTGTTGAGTCTACAGATGAACATTATGCTTATGATAGTTATTATTATCATCAAGTTTTTTGGATGTGGATTTCCAACATTGTGTTGGTGTTAATGGCGGGATTAATTGTTGTAGGTTATTTATTTTCTTAATAACAATTAACAACTTTTCTAGACAAATAAATACAAATCTTTTCTTTTAAAGCTTTTTTCAAAAACTATATTGCACGCCCTTGCCTTCTGGCTCTCAAACTTTATGCCTATTATATTTTCAATTATGGTCTACGTTTACAATACAAAAAGACAATCATTTGTTATTATGGCAAGAAAAAAAGATTATCTTGGTTTAATTATAGTGTTTTCCATCATTCAGTTTCTTTATGGTCTTTGTATTGGCACATTGTGGCAAAAAGGGTAAATAAAACCAATTATATGAAAAATTTATTGGTTTGTTTTATCGATATAAGAGCTGAATTATTTCAAATAGATACTGGATAGTTCAAAGAAAATCAGAATACGGCTTTGATATTAATGCAGAATCAAGAAGTAAGCACATCAGAAATTTATATTAAAAATGTTTATTTTCATAAAATGCTTATTTATTTATCATGTAGGTTTATTCTCTATGTATCAACGTGAATTGATTCTGTACCAATTTACAGTTGTCTTTATGCTCACTAAAATAACAACTTCCTTTGATTTGGATATTTTGATGTCACTGTATTTGAATATTTCGGCGCTCCTTATGTATTTGATATCTCCTCTTATCTTCTTACTCATTATAGGGGTATGAGCTTTTGCAATTTAATTCTTTTGAATAATTAAATCATCTTAATATTAACTCAGATTTTTCTTGAAAAGGTTCAACAAGAATTTCAGTGCATTGTGTACATCGCACAATGTTTTGTTGTTATTTTTGGTGCTATGATTGGTTTGGATTTAGTTTCTTCATTTCAGAATTATTATGCTAATACTAGTTATGATTATGATGTTGCTGCTTACAATATCCTTTTAGGCATGTTTACTAGCATATAAAGGTTATAAATAAATAATTTTCTTTCTGACCAAAGAGACTTACTAATCAGATTTTTTTTTTCACTTTAGATTCCATCTGTGAAATTTTGCTTATTTCATTGTTCATACAAACAATCCAATGTCAACGCAACTTTAAGAAAGGCTTGAAATTAATTTGTATGTTTTAAGGTTGTTCACCACTTCATATTTATTATAGTGATTGATTGATTCATTTGTTTTAGTGAGTTATGAACCCAGGCCAAAAGAATATATTTATGATGAAGACGAAGAGCTACTGGATAAGAAGAATGATGAGAAACTGCCAGAAAATTTCTGGGATAAGAAAGACTTTTCAATTCGTAAAGAATGCTTGGCATATTGGGATGTATTTTGGAAAGCATTGTGATTATTAAGTTTACTTGGGTATCACATTAATAATAAATATCAGAGTTTATATATATCCTTTTTGATCAGATTTATATTTTATAATACATAATCGTTATATGGTCTTTAAGCATTTATTATTTATATTAAGAAATGAATAAATGAACTAAAAAAATTAGCATGATTTAGAAATGGAATATAATCTTTCAAATTTGTTGCTATTAGGTCAAAAATGCCGAAAATAAACCTTGACTAAAGTAAAAATTATGCTTAATATTAATATGAAAAAAACTTCTCGGATAATGCTAAGCTTCCCAGTACTATTACTACTATTAGTATTATCATTGTTTACTGTTATTATTATCATACTACTATCTCCTAATTCACCACCACTATTACTATTTAATGGTTCATTATTGCTAGGGTTTCTATTTGAATATGATTATTTGTTATGAATTTGAGTATTTGAATTGCACTGAAGGTTTATTCAAATAAATGAATAAGAATTTCTATCACGAATAGAAACTCTAACTATTACTATTGCTTTCTTTATTATTATTTTTTATCCTGTCACGAACATTGTATTTTTTGAGCAAATGTATGTTTGTTTTTTTTGTCATTCTAAATAATGCAGATGGACCTATCTAAGTGTTTATGCACTGAATTCTGCACTAAAATTCCAGACGTAAAAATGAATGTTACGATAATTTTTTTTATCATATTAACCGACCAAGTCATTTAAAGATTCTTTATCACTAGTGAGAAATTAAAATCATTTATTTAATTGGCACAAAACTAATTAATATTTTCATAATAGCTGTAAAAAGTAAATTTTTTGTTTTGTACAGAATAAGTACACACTTTATACACTTGTAGTAGTAGTATTATAATGGTATCGCATAATATATTGGCGCCGTCCAAAAAGGTTCAATTTATTATATAATTTTTAAAAATTTCATTGTAACAAATTCATGTTTCTTTACTATGTTACAACAAAACTATATTCATAAAATCAAAACACGTTCGAATTGTCTTTAGCACATGAATGATATTTAATTATGCATAATAGTAAATGCACAATAAACCCCGCTCTTGAATTGTTTTAGTATCTGAGTTTGAAACATAGTATATTAGACAGGTTTTTGTGCAAGTTTTAATTTTGAGTAATAAAAATAGAAAACAAAGAAAAAGAATAATGTTAAAGTTCTTAATCTATCATTAGAGTTTAGCAATGGGATGAATTTTTTTTTTTGATATTGAAGTTGTTTAAATAATAATTTTTATTCAAAATAGCATGAAAAGAGCACAAATTTACATAATAATAGTAATGGACATTCTTGTTTAAAAAAAAATTATTTTTTGAAATATATAGTAGGGTGCTGTATTTCTTTAAAAAAATCCAATTGTAAAGGAAATGTATTGTATACTTGCAGTTTTATATCTTGATAGAATGTATTCTAACAATCCATGAAAGTCACTTATAGGCAAATCAAATCAAATGACTTTGAGATGAAATCCATTCCATGGCTCTTGATTATCACGTAGCAAAACGATCACAAATATTTTTAATGCTTTAATTCGTGGATCATTTCATATCCGTGAACTAATTTTGCTATCTATAATCTCTTGGATTCCTAGTAAAGATAGATACATGTTAATAACAAGATCAAGTAAATTCTAACATCTATTAGTATTTATAGTTCTTACGCTTTTCCCTTCAGAGATGTCATTCAATTCTTCAATAGCCTCTAATGCATTCTCAACATCCTTTGAAAGAGTTTGTTCGGCTAAATCAACACGCATCTTACTCCAAGGTGTTAACCAAATATGACACTCAGTTAGCCTTGATGACTTAGCTGTTGCATGATGACTAGTATAATCATAAACTCCTTTGATATGTTTCCATTATCTTCAAACATAATTTCACACACATTTTTTTCACCATCTTGTCCTGTATGACTCTTTGATAAATTATTACGAAGCTTCTTGAAAACATGAGTTGGGTCACTAATGAAAAACCATGGATTTCCTTTAATTGCTTTATGCCATGCTCACTATTTTTTGGTCTTTATTAATTGAAAGTTTGCTTTCGATGACAGGTCTTGGAAGATTCCTATCAACAATAATGCCTTCAGTAAATTCCTGGTAGAATTTTTGAACTGTAAATTTTCTACAAGCAATCAATGTTTGAATTTAGAATTTTAGCATAATAAGAATTACCTTCTTCCTGTAACAATTCCACAATACCACCAACAGATTAGGTTGAAGCAAACCAATCAAAACTTTTTATATGATTCGATTCTTACTAGCACAATCACAAACCGAACCACAGACAGGTATGGATTTCAATGCAATGTCAGCCGGTAGAAAACCCTAGTTGCTAACACTTAAGAAAATTTTTATCAAGTGAATTATTTATTCTTACTGAAAAATTCAATTTAAAATATAATAAAAAATTTAATTAAATATATAATTAACCAACTTATTGATCAAGCAGTTTACAATTTCTCTCAAAAATAATATATTATGAAGGTCGTTTTAACTCAGTCTATTTCTTTTCTACGAATAAATTTCCAGTTGAGGAAAACAACCTCTCAGACGGAACTGAAGTTGCCGGTATGGCCAAGTAAATCCTAGCTTGAAGTAGAACCACCTTTTTCTGATTCCACCAAAGGAGTGGTTTTTCTTCTAATGATAATTTTTGTAATGTTAAAATCAAATTCAAGTTCAGGTTTATATTTTTAAAAATGCTATTATACATAATTATAATAAATCTTTTATACCAGCACAGGAATGTATTGTAACACCACGGATTTTGTTTGTTGATATGCCTGTTGCTTTACAGCCACATAATCTTCTCCATAAATGATTTTTAAATCTTCAACAATTTTTAACAAAAGAAGGCTCTTTCTGATACCTGATAAAATAATGATGATGATGATGATAAATGATAAAAATAACAACTTACCTGTGGAATTCGTAAAGAATGTGTTTTCTTTTTTGTTGATGAACAGAAATTTATCTACAATCCAGTAACCAAATAATTCAATATCTGAAGAGCTTGGTTGTTTGATATTTGAAAAAGTGGTTGAGTTGGTCAAATTGATTTTTTAATGTAGTCTAAGAGGTTGATACTGTTGAGAAGTAGGGGAAAAAGAAAATGCTCCAATAATATTAGATTTAAATGATGCACCATTTTTTTTAATATTTATAACTAGAGTGACAACAAGTGACGATAACCACCATTCTTTTTGATAATAATACTTATAACACTTACCCTCTAACTACTCTATATTCTTATTCTTTTCTTCTTCTATTATTACTTTTATTCTTTTTTTAAAAAATGTCAAATCAAAACATTAATTATTCGCGCTGTGTCGTACGAAGATCGAATTTTATTTTTTTTTGGTAAACAATTTATTTTTTGACAAGGTATAAGATGGCAAAACGTGAGTAATGTTTCTCGATTTAGTTTTTCCAAAGATGTGTTGCTTATAAGTATTTTTTTTTTATTTGTATTGATTTATATTTTTTTAATGAACATTTTATAAATAAATATCAGTCTTATAAATATTATAATTGAAATTGAAATCAAAATGCAGAGCAGAATTTACTGGAAGATTCTTACGTATCAAGATAATGAACAATTGGTATTTTTTTTTTGTAATCAATATTATTATTATTATAAATATTTAATCATAAGAAAATGTCGATGCAACACAACTGTTGAAAGCTGTTTCTAGACAATTTAGAAATATTTACATTTTAAATTAGTATTAAAATTGATTAAATAGAGTTTGGCTCATAAAAAAATTGGACATTTCTTCAAATGTAATGAATTTCAAAACTGCGGAAATATCCACATGACTTTGCACACATGGAAAAAAGGACAGGCAAGCTGATCTCATTTAATGTGATCCAGCAGATGTTCATGGAAAAAACGTTGTATAATTTGGTCATGAAGTATCAGTTTTATGAATGAAATTATTAATAATTTATTAATTATAAAAATTGGGAGACTAAAAGTGAATTTTAATGCTGAAATTTATTATGTTGCTATATCCGGTATTTTCTAATGTGGAATAAGCATTTTCAATTGATATATATATATTTAGCTATTTAATTATAAGATCATATACAGAATGAGTAAATTTATTAAAAAAAATGGTATAGAAATTGCTGCTTGACATTTATTGTTGTTTTTATGACTTTCTTCAGAATCAACAATAGCGTGAGATTAAATTCAAATTTTCATCCTGGAGAGGAAACATTGAAATTCATATAATATGTTAGCTTCATAGTGATTGATAGATAAATCATACCTGCATTTATAACAGCTCTTTAATCACTTCTCCGTATCAAAAGTTTTCAAATTCCTTTGTCATAAATAGATTTTTTCACCCTATTCAAGCATCATATATATTAACGTTAGAAAATGATTACTGGTCACCAATGAAGAATCTTCGTTGTTAGTAAGTGGAATCGTGATCAAAGAATTTGATCTTATAAAGCTTTGTTATGTAATTTCGTCAAGAGAAAAAGATGGTAAATGGCTTTGAAGATTCTCTTTCATTGAAAGGATCGGACAAGGTAATGATCTGATATTGTATTTTACATAATTTTAAGAACAAAATGTCGCCTTTGACTTAAATTCGACCATGGGTAAAAAGATATACAAAAAAGAAAAAAAAGAAAGAAGCAATGTAATATTTACTATATAATATATTACAAGAGGAAAGCTTATCATTGAAATTCAGCAACAAATGTCAAGTTGTTTGATGAATTATAGCAACCCTTTAACTATGAATCAAAAAATTTATCATTTTCTTGAGCCAAGTTCCTCTCTCCCTCTGTTTTCTGGTGCCAACTATTGAACATTTTGTCGTATTCAATTTGGAGTTGATTATATTTTAGTTCTGTTCTTCTTAAGAGCTGTTTAAAGGAAAGTTAGATGATTTTCGTAAATAGCTACTGATTGACTATATCATCGTTGAAAAAATTGCCTCCCATTGATAATTGTCAAGGTAGTAATCTTGCAACATTGTTTCCAACATTTGGACACGATCCTCCAATGTCGCACCGTTACGCCGGTTCAATACTTTTTGTGATAGGATGATTCCTGAAGATGAGACATATCGTTTTGCTAGTTTTGTTTTTAAGCTTTTGTACAAAATGAATTAGACAAGTCAATATTTCATTTAATTAATGGTTGATATTAATGATTTAGAATTACCTGCGTCTGCAAATTCTGCATCTTAGCACATATTTTTGAACAATACCCCTGTTAATGTATAAACGTTAGCTGGAACAATTCGTTAATGCATCATTTAGACAATTCACACATACCATGGAGATAATTTTGGCATTCCAAATAATAAAACATAAATTGAATTCAAAGCAACATAGAAACCACCAAGGTTGGCTATTGCACCTCCAACTTTTGGTAAATTTTTTTTAGAACGTTTTTGGTGCAATACACAGTCAGACAAAGGCATTAAAATTTAAAAAAACTTACGTGTACGTTCATAACTTTCCGTCTCGTAAGTAAAATAATTAGATACTCTTACGCCAAATCGGATATTTCCTTCGTTGTTGGATTTTGGAAGGCTTTTAATGGCGTGTTTTAAATAACAAGTGTCATCATATGATCTTAGACCCCAAGTGTAGCCCCAATAACTTGATTGATAATTTCTTTTAATCGTTGGAATAATATCAATAATAGAACTATCTTTGAGTTCAAAGATAATAATCGAGTCAGAACTAGCTTTATTATTGCAAGCAATGCCTAACTTATGCTCAGACGAAAAACGAGAATAAAAAATCGTCACATTTCCAAAGATGACATATAACTGTTGATCTGAAATGTAGTGAATAGGGTTGTTTGGACTAAATTCTGTTGTTAAGGATAACAAACGAAAGTAACTTTCAAGAGAAATGTTGGTTGAAGATGACGTGGGATTTAAATTAATATCAAAAATTGGGATATCTTCCGGTATACGAGAATCAAAAGTAAGGTCATACGCTTTACAACCTTGAGGTACTATTTTACTGATATTTTTACATCTAGGTTCCGGACCACCATCATTACAGTCAATCTTCGATTGCTTGTTAGATGTGCAGAGGTAGGTTTCTATTGCTTTATTAATATTGATTTATTAAGCAAATATTGAAGTATCAAATTTTTGTGCTATATATTAGAAGTCTGACATTCATACCTGTGATGGATTCATTGTTAGAGGGAGTTTTAGATACTTTGATACTGGTTTCTCCACTATATAATAATAGATCATTGATCAGCATGCCCGCGTAAAATAAAATTGAAACTGTCAGCCCAGTTGCAATACAAATACGGATATTTTTAAACCAGAAAGGCTCAGTAGTCTTGCCGTTAAAAATTGCATCGTAGAGAAACATTTTTGATGTACTAATTAATATAGTAATTTTATTCACTTGGAAACTTCACTGCTTTTGGAACACAGTGTATTTAATTGAGAACTACTTTGATAATCTCTTTAGCCTATATAGTAAATGAATTGCTTAGGAGGAGTTATATGGAGTATACTTTTATAATAAATATAATTTAAAATGTCAAATATATTTTTGTTTATTAAAAATCTTAACAATGCAATGTTATAATTGTTTTAAAAAAATTTTCTTGTAGAAAAAAATTTGTTCATTATTCAATGTAGAATATTCCTTTTTTGAAGAACAGAAAATTAGCGCAGGTTTTTTTTCGCTTCTCAATAATTAATGCAAATAAAAATACGAGTTTGATCTAGTAATTTATGATACAAATGCATGCAGATATTTCCAATAAAGGGAAACAAAAAGGTTTTCATCCTAACAAATTTTGCGCATTTTTTTATAACAGAAGTTTACGAATAAGTCTGTTAAAGCTTATTTGCATTCCATGCTTCATTTTGGTTTTTCTTCAAAATCGTCTTTTGCACGGCGTTTGCTCACGTTGACTTTTTTAATTTTGCTTATTGGAGAATTAAGCTTTTTAATATATCTAATACGTTTGGGTTTTAGTCAGTCAGATCCAGATGAGTGGATTTCTGTCTTTATTTTGATATCAATGGTGGGATTAATCGTCGTAGGTTATATATTATTCTCTTAATAACAATTAACAACTTTTCCAAACAAATAAATACAAATCTTTTCTTTTAAAGCTTTTATCAAAAACTATATTACACGCCCTTGCCTTCTGGCTCTCAAACTTTATGCCTGTCATATTATCAGTTATGATCTATGTTGACAATACAGAAAAGTCGTCATTTATTACTACAGGGAAAAAAATACGTCTTGTTTCAATTATAGTGTTTTCTATCCTTCAAGTTCTTTATGGTCTTTGTATTAGCATATTGTGGCAAAAAGGGTAAATGAAACCAATTATATGAAGTATTTATTGCTTTGTTTTATTGAAATATAAAAGCTAAATTATTTCAAATAGGTATTGGAGATTTCAAAGAAAATCAGAATACGGCTTTGATATTAATACAGAAGCAAGAAGTAAATGCATCAGAAATTTTATGTTAAAAATGGATTTTTTCATAAAATACTTATTTCTTCATCGTGTAGGCTTATTCTCTATGTACCAACGTGAATTGACTCTGTACCAACTTACGATTGTCTATATGCTTGCCAATATATTTTTATTCGTCATTGATGCTCGGTCGTTCTTTCTTAATACACTTTTTCTTCTGATTGCTTGCTTTCTTATTATTGGGGTATGAGCCATGCAAGAGATTCATTTGAATAATAAATCGCCTTAATTATTAACTCGGATTTCTTCCCCCCCCCCCGAAAAGATTCAACAAGAATCTCAGTCTATTATGTGCATCACACAATTGGCTATAGCCTGCTCAATTGGCTATCATTTAACCTTTTTGATTTACAAGTTTAAGTTTCTTCATGACGACTATTACTATTACTATTACAATATTGTTTATTATTATCTTTCAGGCATGTTTTCCGGCACATAAAGACTGTAAATAAAATAATTTTCTTTCTGCCAAAGAGATTTACCGATCTCGTTTTTTTTCCACTTTAGCTTCCATCTGTGTGATTTTACGCACTTTATTGCTCCTACACACAATTAAATGTCAATGCAACTTTGGAAAAGGCTTGAAATTATTGCGTATGTTTTAAGGTTGTTCTTTACTTCATATTTCTTATCGTGTGATTATTCATTTTATCATTTCTTCATTTTAGTAAGTTATGAACCCAAGCCAAAAGAATATATTTATGATAAAGACGAAGAGTTACTGGGCAAGGATGATGAGGAACTGTCAAAAAATTCCTGGGACAAGGAGGTCTTTTCACGAATATTGGACAAATTTTGTGGTGCATGCTTAGCATTCTGGAAAGCATTAGACTGAAATATGATGTGATTTATTAGATTGCAATATTTATTTAGATATCGTATTAGCAGCGTTTATTTTAAAATTCTCTTTTATCCATTATTTTAAAAGTAAATTTTTTATGTATAGTGTATTAGTATATTAGTATTATTTTTATTATATTAGCACCGTCGAAAAAAGTTCAATTTATTATTCATGAAGGTTTTTAAAATTTTCATTAGCTTTGTACAAATAAATTATTAAAATTTTTTCTTTTACAAATTAAAACTATAATATACAATACAATTAACTATTACAATTATTACTAATATTCTTCTTTCACTATTGCAACAAAACAACGTTTCATAAAATTGATAAAATCAAAACGCGTTCGAATTGTTTTATATACGCATGAATTGTGTTGACTTAATATTTTTTCATTTTTGACTTTAAAGTTAATTACGCGTGTAATAGTAAATGCAAAATAACATTAATAAAACGCGCCTGAGCTGTCTTTAGTGTCTGGGTTTGAAACACATATTACAACTTTCTCATAATATATTATTAGACGGTTTAGGTACAGGCTTTTGTGTAAGTTTTTTTTTTAGAGAACGAAGAAAAAAAAATAATACACAAATACTTTTATAATTATTCTGAGGAACATCAAAAAATTTCCATATAAAACAAACTGCACTACACTATTACTTTTCACTTGAATTTTAAGATACTATATTTTTAATAAAGCAATACCTGCTCATATAATTTTATTAGAATAAAGTAAATACAATAATTCACAAAATAACTCCCAAATCATCTTATACGAGGCTATTCCTCTTGAAAATAATTAAAAAATATATATATATATATAATTTAAATTTAACATTTCAGAAAAATAGATATGCCAAACAAAGTCTATGAAGTCTATCCAGTCTCAATTTAACTGCACCATAGATATTGTTGACTGATCCGGACGTTACCTAGGTAATAGGAAGTCAGATCTGGGATTAATGAAGTTATTTATTAACTAAGTGACAATTATTAGAATTAGAATTTGAAAGAGGTCTTGAAAACATTTATGCTATCTGATTAATTAATTAGCTGCTTTATTGTTAGGTTGATATTATTTTGTTTTAACCATAAGTTAAAAAGGCACATCGTAGAAGCCACACATTTTTATAATATAAGGTTATTATTGTAGGTATATTTATTTATTTGAAGAAATGAAAATACCAATTTAGGAATATTATTATTATTAAACTAGAGTAACGAGTTACATCAATAATCACCACCACCATTGAAAGATTTTCTTTTAGGAAACAGTTGGAATTATTATGATTATACAGTCAGGGAATATACTAAATTTGGAAATCAATTCCAGAACATCATGACTAATACTTTTTAATGTTAAACAATCTTGAAAGAATACCCAGTGTTTTTAGAAATGACTCAGAAATAATGTGACAGTTATGTTGGTGGTGTTAATATAAAACAATTATGAAGTAAACAACAAAAATATCTGGATAAATTTATCTCACTTGAGAATGAATTGATACTGGAATTTTTATAATGTTGTGAAGTCATTATTATTATTTAACTTAGCCAAAAAAGGTATAATAAATAAAAAAAATTTAGCTGCCCTTACTTTTTAAAAATTGATCACCCTGAGGAAGATAAAAAAATCAAAAAAAGATCAAAAATAAAAAACAGAGAAAAAAAAATGGCTTTTATTATTAATAAATTTTCAAGACAAATCGTTTTTTGTTTTAATAAACATTCAATTTTTTTTTACTGGAAATAGTAATGGTGTCAAAGCTTTTATGATAAAAAATAAATTTGAAAATGTCAAACAAAGTTCATTCTATAAAAATTTAAATGTATTTTTTTTATTTTTATTTTATTCAATGTGTATATTATATAGATATATACATTTCTTTAATATAATTGATTTTATACACATTTGACATTAGGATAAACCTCCAAGATCTACATATCTTGCTGCACATTTGACAGATAATCATCAACTGTTCTTAATTTTTTTTACCAATTTCATCTTTAATAAACGTTTACTTCATTAGTAAAAATCAAAAAAAAAAAATTTTTTTTCATTAATAAAAACAATAAAATGAATAATAATAAATTACCAAAATTTAAAGATGGATTTAGATTTTTCAATTTCTCATATTCCTTTCTCCTTAATAATAAAAGGTTTTCAAAAAATCCATCAATATCTATCTCAAGCGATTTGTATCGTTTATTAACTTTTTCTTTCAAAATTTTTACAACTTCTAATGCCTTTTGCATTTCTGATATGTTTGTATTGATCAATATTGAATCTGTGTCGCCATAAATAACCTACAAGTTAAATTATTAGTTTAATTATTGCAACACATAAAATCATTATAAAGTACAAGTAATTTCCACACCTCCATTGATTCTTTTTCTGCCAAATCAACAATATCCTGTAAGATTTCTCTTCCTTTTGAAGTGATTAAAACTGCCAATGGTTTTGCATAAAATCTTGAATTTGTAAACCCCAAGCAGCCATACATACTATTTGCAGTAAGTTTAAGTGCTTTTTGTCGAATATCACAAAGCTATGAATAATAATTTAGAAAATAATAAAAATATAAGCATTTACACTCATACATATATACATTTTATGATAGTCATTTATGAACAAAGGCATATTTCTTTACCTGAGCATCTTCAGCTGATGTGTTTGGGTTCGTCATAAGCCCTTTAAGATATTTTCTTCTGTCAACAAGTATTCTGATCAATTTGGGAAGGATTCCTTCTTCTTTTAAGATGGAGTCTAGGACATCTGGAAGTTCTTCTTCACCCTATATACATAATATTAAAGAAATAAAAGATTTGATTCATTAAAAATTTAAAAAATATATGAATAACTCACCAAATTAGTACGATCAACTGTTGTAAAACAAATAT